GTTGTATTTCAAGGTCAATCATTTATGTCGGAAGTTGCCAGGTCTTGCACGATCCTGACTTGGGGTTCCTGGGACTGGAACTCCTTCTTGGATGTTAGTAGTATTTTTTTCTTCCAAATGGAAGCTGAGGATTTTGGCTATAACATTCCTGAGACTTTTGCTTTTTTGGTTTATTTCAGGAGACGATCAGTGAATTCTTTCTGTCTTTACTTTGTCCTTTAGTTCTGCTAGATCTGGAAAGTTCTCATTTGTGATTTCTTAAAGTAGAATGCCCAGGCTTTAAAAAAAATCATGGTTTTCAGGGAGTCTAGTAATTTGTTCTAAAATGATCTTTCTTTGACTTCTTTTTCAGGACAGTTATTTTTTGGATCAATTATCTTACATTTTCTTTGATTTTTCCTTAGCTTTTGACTTTGTTCTTTCCTAAAGAGTCTTTATTTCATTTTTTATTTCATTTCATTTCTTCTAGATATTCATGCAGTCCTTGAACAAAATGTATTTTTTCCTTTTAGTCTTTGCTTATAGTTGTTACAGCTACTTTACCCTTCTAGGCTATATTTTTAGGCATCTCTAGATCTACAATAATTTTTGTAGTGGTTGGTGTCTTCTTTGTTTTACTCAACTTGGTGGTTTTAATTCTTAAATGGGGCTTTGTGCAAGGGCCAGCTTGTGACCCTGGCTATGCTTTTGGGTAGTGTGATTAGCTCTGCTTGGGCTTGTCCTATGTTCCTGCTCTGATCTACACCTCCCAGGATTAGACCTACTAGATCTTTAAGGTTCAGAACACTGGATCTTCAGGTCCCTCTCTGGCATCTCTGGACAAAATTCAGGGGACCTAGGAGCTCTCTTGTACTGGTTGCTCCTGGGGCTCTACTTTCTGACTATCCTGGGGTTTCCTGACCACTCTGGGGTTTTCTCGAGGGAGCCCTCTACTGTTGCTGCCTTTGGACACAGAGCCTTTCAGGTTACACATTTCTCTGGCCCACATCTGGTCACACTGGAAGGCTATAGGCTTGTTTATCATTGGTCTTTGCTGGGGGATTGTCCAACATTCTCTGCTGATCCAGCCAATTCATCTTCTAACATCTTCATACTGTCTTGTTAAATATTTGATGCACTAGTTCATGGAAAGATGTCAGAATCTTCTTGTCTCCTTGAGTTGGATTTAGATTCTATTTCTGATGCTACTTTTTTGACCAGTTTCCTTATCTGTAAAACTGAGATAATAATGCCATTAGTACCTGCTCAAATGCAATAAAGTATAAAGCATAAATCTTTAAAGACTATGGGATGCCAGCATTATTATGGATCAAGTTACCTAAGGGGGAATTTGCATTTTAAAAGAAGAAGAAGGAAGAAGTATAACTTGTTAATGGGAAAACTGGCATCAGTAGGAGAAAAGTTCTGAGGAGTAGCATGAAAATCACATGCAGACAACTGTCTACTCTTCTGAATGGGCTAGGACAGGGGTAGGGAACCTGAAGCCTCAAGTGCAGCCCTTTGACTGAATCTAAACTTCACAGAACAAATCCCCTTAATAAAAGGATTTGTTCTGTAAAACTTGGACTCAGTCAAAATGCCGCACCCAAGGACCTGGAAGGCCACGCTTGGGCTAGGAGTTCCCTGAGCAACATATGTTGTTGTTATTATTTTGTCATTTTTCAGTCATGTCTGACTCTTCATGACCCCTTTTGGGCAAAAATACTGGAGTATTTTTTGGAGTCATTTGGAGTCATTTCCTTCTCCTGCTCATTTTACAGATGAGGAAAACTGAGACAAATAGGGTTAAGTGACTTGCCCAGCATCACACAGCTGGTAAGTGTCTAAGGCCAGATTTGAACTCAAGAAGAGGAGTCTTCTTGACTCTATCTACTGCGCCACCTAGCTGCCCACAGGAGAGACGTAATTGTTTCTAATCAAGAAAAACTCAATAGAGGTGGGGACTATGGATGTGGAATGATGTATATACTGTTAGATGAAGTCATTTTATTGGTTAGGTTCTGCTTAAATTGTTCCTTATTCCAAGACAGCATTCAATGTGTTCATGTATGCTAGTATGTGCATATGGGGAAGGACAGGGAAGGAAAGGGAGAGAATATTGGGAAAGAATTCTGATATGGAAAAAGGCATAATAAAAATTAATAATGAAAATGTTAAAGTCAAGGTTAAGAAAGGAGAAGTAGAAGATTAAGTGATACTCACCTAGAGCTGCTGTGCTTTGCCTTTAAATCATCTGAGAGCTAGGCCTGGCCCTCACTCAGCTTTCTCACTAAAATCTGAGTTAGCAAAAGCCCAGCAGAAGGCCCTAAACCCTTTCATCCTCCTATCTTCTAGCCAATATTTTAAATATACTTGATGTCTAGTGTTTTAAAATTATATCTTGTTCTGATCCCCCTGACTACCCACCCTCAAGCTTCTTTTTTTTTTGGTCAGGCAATTGGGGTTAAGTGACTTGCCCAGAGTCACACAGCTAGTGAGTGTTATGTGTCTGAGGCCGAATTTGAACTCAGGTCCTCCTGACTCCAGGGCTGGTGCTCTATCTACTGCTCCAGCACCCCCAAGTTTCTAATCAGTATAGTAAGTTTACAAGTAGCCAGTATAAAGTAACAATTATCAAGAAGTGAGATTGGAAAGGGAAACCTAGAAGTCACATACCAAACATCCCAAAGATCAAAGAAGCATAACTTGCAAGCTATATCATATATTAACCAAAAATCATGTCCTGGTAATAATGTGGTAAATTGGGGGAAGCCACCTAGGCTTTGCAGTCAGGGCCTCTTGGTCCAATGATGTATAAATCTCAGGTAAGTTCCAGACATTGGCAGTGAAGACCAGTAGGATGCCAAATGCTACTGATAACTCTGAGATGATGTGGATGTAACTTTAAAGTTTTACTGACAACTTTGAGATTGTTTGGATACATTAATGAACTAACCTCAAAGTGGCAGAGATAAAAGTCTGCACTCCTCCTCCCCAAAACACCCTATCAAAATGAGACCTCAAATCCCTGTGTCTTCTGTCCACCCTCCCCCTTCCCCCAGCACTGTCCCATCTCCATGTGGGTCCATGCTGCCAAGTGCTCCCAACACGAATCCATGGTTATACGAGTAATTCTCAGTGTGCCTCTCCCTTCCCATTCGCTTTCCTCTGTTGTCTGACTTCCTTCACCACTCTATCCTCTGTCTGCCTTTGTACCCCTCCCCCCTTTCACCACTTGTCTCTGTACTTTCTGTGCTGTTTTCCCCTTCACTCTCTGGGCCTTATTAAAGTGTAATTCAGCCTCACTTCCCACTGCCATCGTAGTCTTTCCCGTCGAATACCCAAAGAACTAGGTGTGCCCACCCCATTTCATAAATTAATTAGAGGTTCATCTAGCTTTTAATGTAAGAATTTCAAAAAGATGAAGTTTTATATTAAATTATTAAAAAGCATTTGATTTCACAACCCCATAGTTCTCTTTTGTTTACAAGTGGAAATATTGCCTTTAGATAGTTAATGTGAGTCAACAGTGTTACAGCTGCCAAAAAACAAATGACATCTTAGGTTTCGTGAATAAAAGCATGGGGTCCAGAATATACATACATGCATACACACACGCCTTTATTTTATTTATTCTGAGAGAGTTTCTGTCTCTCTGTCTTTGTCTGTCTCTGTCTCTTTCTGCCTCTCCCTTTGTCTCTGCCTCTCCCTATCTCTCTTTCTCTGTCTCTCTCTGCCTTTGTTTCTGTGTCTGTCTATGCCTTTCT